CCTCCAATAAAACTTTCCAGAAGATATTCCTCAAAAAGGTTATGATTCTGCTGTAGTAGCATTGACTTCATTGTTTCAAACTCATCAAGATATACTTCAATGGAATCCCTCTGAGTCAATTTATTGAACAGTTCTACTACATTATCCAGTTTTTCATCCTTAAAACGTGCACAAACATCAATACAGAATTCACTCCAAGATACACCCTTCCTATTGATCACATAACTGCTAACCCACGGTTCAGCCCTACCAGTTACATATATGCACGCAAAATCCAATCTCTGATTATCAGGCACCTTACAGAGATTAAAGTATTTCTCACATTTTCTGATCCACATCCTAGAGTTACTACCATCAAAAATGGGAAACTCCAGTTTTGGAACAAAGCCAAAAGATCTACCATCAGATTTTCTCATATCATTGGAATTAATTGACGGACTTTGATCAGATGTTACCTCTTTTTCTGGTAATCTCTTCTTGATTTCTTGCATAAATCCCATTATCTCTTGAATTGCAGATAACTGTTGATCCGCTTGCTTCTTGTGGTCATCCAGCCTCTTCTCTAGGCTAATAACTCGATCTTCCATGTTTCCTTTTCTTGTTCTCGGTGCCAGACTGACTTCTTTGATTGATCGGCTAGTTTATCCAGGTAATCATGCTCTGATACCAATGTTACAGTAGCTAAATCTCTACTGTAATGGAGTAATCAACTATGGAAATATAAAGGGGAACTTTGTATAGAAGACAAGTATTGAGCCCTTCTGGCAAGCCATCAAAATTGAAGAGCAAATGCCCCTATACTGCAAAAGATGCTTTAGATTTGGTCACCAAGACCCTCAATGCCCCTTACAGTATAAAAACCCCCCTGATAAGGCCCTTCTGTCCAAAAATTCTGAGATTTTGGTAACTAACACCTCTTCTCAAGATGCAGGAACCATTGATACTAACAAAGATCTTTCCAAATGGCTGAGGAAAGGGAAGGACAAGGTTAATTTGGGTGTTTCCTTCAACAACCCCCCTCCTCTCAACCCTATCCCTAATCCCCATCCCCCCCATTCCCCCTCCCAATCCCACTCCACCACACCCCTCCCCCCCAATCCTCTCCCCACATCCCTCCCCTCCCATACTTCCCCTTCAGAGCACATTAATGTACAACAGACTGCCCTTGATACTGGGGACAACAATGATACTCTTGAGTTGATCCCTAAGGCCACACCTGGTTATGATGACAGCCCCTCTGAACCAACACATCAGCAAGGTAATGGAGACTCCATTGGGATGTCACCCCTTACTGAAGATCAAACCCAGACTGGCCAACCTCATGCTGAACCCCCACCACTTACTATCACCAACACCTTTGCCTCCCTGTCTGATTCTGAAGACAATCAAATTGTCGAAAACATCCCTCAAACTGATTCCCCCCTCTCTGAACCAGACCACCAAACTCTAAAATCTTTACCCCCCTTAACTTTAACCCAAAAGGCCCAATTGCAGACACCACACACTTCCAAAAGAACCACTAGGAGCTCAACATCCAAAAACATCATAGACTCTACTACCCCCCAAGTTTCTAATGATTAAAGCTATCATATGGAATGCCCAAGGGATCTCTAACAAAGATACCCAAAACAGACTCTCCACTCTTAATAATTCCCACTCCCCCAACATCATTGCCATCCTTGAACCGATGGGGCATCCTGACCAGATTACCACCCTTCAAAATACCATTCAACTTCACAATCATCACTGCCATTCCTCTAATAAAATCTGGCTTTTCTGGGACAACAACATTAATCTTACTGTCCTTTCTGAAACTAATCAATGTATTAACTGTAAAGCTGATCAATCTAACCTTAATTCTGTGATTTATCTTTCCTTTATCTATGCTAGCTGTGACAGAATGAATAGATTATCTCTCTGGGATGATCTAACTACTTTTCACAACTCTACTGGTAATCACCCTTGGTTTCTGGGGGGTGATTTCAATACGATAAGAGATATTGCTGAGTACAAAGGTAAATCTACCCCTAATCCCACTTCCATTTTTGATTTCAATTCTTTTATTAACAATAATGATCTCTTTGATGTTCCTCTTGTTGGGGGGAATTTCACTTGGATGGGAAAGCGCTCTGGTGGAATTGTTTTTAAAAAACTGGATAGGGTCCTTATTAACCAACATCTCTTCCAAAGTGGTAAAATTATTACTTGCACTAAACTGTCCTTTATATCTTCAGACCATACTCCTCTCCTATTTCAAATTAAACCTCAAACTTCCCTCCCCCACCCCACAGCTTTTAGATACCAGAATATGTGGGCCTATCATAAAGATTATTCTTCAATTATTAAAGACTCTTGGTCTCAATCTTGTGATGGATATGGCATGTATCTTTTTTCTCAAAAACTGAAAAGGCTTAAGAAGGTTTTAAAGGTCTGGAACCAGAATACTTTTGGCAACATTTTTCAAAACCTAACTAAAGCTGAAGAAGATCTTTCCCTAAAAGAGATGAATCTTATTTCTTTAGATAATCTGGATAATCAAAACGCTTTTAAAAAAGCTCAGGCTGAATTTATTCTTAAGCAAAAAGACATCTTTACTTTTCTAAAACAAAAAGCCAGAGTTCACTGGTTGAAAGACGGTGACACCAACTCCAAATTCTTTCACAATTATGTCAAATCTAAACATGCCAAACTCTCCATTCATAAGATTAAAGACTCTGAGGGTCAATGGATAGAAGATCAATCCCTTATTGGCCAAGCTGCTGTGGACTTCTTTAGGCCTCTTTTTACTCAGGAAAAGGCACCCCAGACAACTGACCTTAACACCATTCTTCACCATCTTCCCACTAGTATTACTGAGGAGGACAACCAGTCCCTTCTTGGTCCTATCACCCTCACTGATCTTAAAACTGCTGTGTTTGACCTTAATAAAAATAGCACCTCTGGTCCCGATGGGTTTAATGGTTGTTTCTACCATGATTGCTTTGATATTATCAAACATGACCTCTTAAATGCCACCAGAGAGTTCCTTTGCGGAGTTCCCATTCCCAAAAGTATAGGTCACACTTTCATTACCCTTATCCCTAAGGATTTTAAACCTGACACTTTCCAAAAATTTAGACCGATTAGTCTAAGTAATTTTATTAATAAAATCTTTACCAAAATTCTTACTATCAGGCTCACCCCTCTTCTAGGCAAAATTATTTCCCCTAACCAGAGTGCCTTTCAAAAAGGGAAAGAAATATCCGACAACATACTGGCTATGAAAGAACTCACCCAATGTCTTTCTAAAAAAGTTCCGGGTCACAATGTGTATTTCAAAATAGACATGACTAAAGCTTTTGACCGCATTTCTTGGAGCTTTCTAAAGATTGTTTTGGAAAAAATTGGTTTTCACCCTATTTTCATTAATCTTATCCTCAACAACTTAAAAGGGACTTGGTTTTCTATTCTTATAAATGGAGTCCCTCACGGTTTCTTCAATCCCACCCGCGGGGTCAAACAAGGTGATCCGCTTTCTCCCATGCTCTTTATAATTGTTTCTGAAGTCCTCACCAGGAATCTCAACCATCTTTACACTCACGGTGGAGGTAAACCTTATTACTCGCACATTGGTCTTCCTGTTATCTCTCATTTAGCTTATGCTGATGACTTGATAATTTTCTCTAATGGCAGTAAACATACTTTGCAAAAACTTTTTAAGCTTCTCAACCATTATGAACTGTTGTCTGGTCAGAAAATTAATTCTGATAAAAGCTCTTTCTTTACGGGTCCCAAGACCCCTGCTAGGACTATTAATATGATTAAACATGTCTCTAAAATGAATAAAGGAAATTTCCCTTTCATGTATCTGGGGGTTAACATCTATCTAGGAAGAGCTAAAAAAATCTACTTCTCACATCATGTGATTAGGATTGATCAACGCCTTAATAGCTGGAAGAACAAAGTTCTCTCCCAAGCCGGCAAAATAATATTGATCAAACATGTTCTGGCCACCTTCCCCCTCTATACTATGGCCTCCTCAAAGGTCCCCAAAGGGGTCCTTAAAGACATTGAAAAACGCTGCATTAAATTCCTTTGGCAAAATGATCTTAACTCCTCAAGCACTTTTAGTTGGAGGTCTTGGGCTAACTGCTCATACCCCTTTAATGAGAACGGTTTGGGTTTTCGCAGGTTGCAGGACATCCAGGACAGCTTCTATTTGAAACTCTGGTGGAAAAAAGACCATGGAAACAGCATTTGGGCTATTATTTTCAATTCCTTACGTTCTTATAATCTTTCTGTTTTCTGGCCTCCTATGGTCTCTGTGTATAATTTATATAGTGCCAACACTAGAATTCAGGTCAATAACGGATGCAGCCTCTTCTGGGATTCCAATTGGAGTCCTTTTGGGCCTCTCTACAGACTGTCCCATGAGCCCCATGATCCCATCACTATTAGAGAGGCCTATGAGAATATTCACAGTCATGTCGGTGACTTACCTCACCACGTTAGCACGGCCCTTATTAACAACAGTCCTTCCTTTGAAGAGACACCTGACACTACTCACTGGACCCGCGCCCCTAATGGTGATTTCTCCTTTAAGACGGCCTATGATGAGATAAGGAAGAAAAGGCCCAAGATCAAAAATCTTGATCTTTTGTGGAAGAACCCGATTCCAAAGAAGATTTCTTTCTTCCTTTGGCGGGTCACTAACAATCTTATTGTGTGTGCTGACTCGCTCCAGAAAATGGGGTTTTATGGGCCTTTTAAGTGTCCTCATTGCAACCACCATGACTCTATTAACCATTTCTTTTTGAGTTGCCCATCTCACACTCCAATCTGGAGTTACTTTAATATTAAGAGTCATCGGTTGGATGGCAACTTAATGGACAACATACTTAATTGGACCCATCATAAATCCTTTATAACCTATATTGTCATTCTTTGGAACCTTTGGAAGCTGAGAAACAGCACCCTTTATGATGATTCCTCCCCTAACTACTCTGAGGCCATTTACAACATTCGGCGGGAGATATTTTCCATCCAGGACACTAAAAGACCTAATAAGGCCCCTAAAAGTAGACCCCAAGTGGTGTCCTGGAATCCTCCAATGCATAACCATAGAACCCTTAACATTGGCCACACCAAAAATGGGCTCTCACATAGTTTCGGATTTTTGATAAGGAACCACAACGGTGCTATGATCTTTCACCACCAAAGCAACCTTTTTTCCTCCTCCACTGTGAGGGCTTTCATAGAGGCATACTACGACTTTCTCATTTTCTGCAGGGACAGGAGGATCTACTACTCCAACATCCAAATTGATAATGCCCAAGTCTTCCAAGCCATTAATCTTCATTGTGTGCAAAATTGGGATCAAATTTTCATCATCTCTTGCATTAGAAGGATTTTGCATCATAACCACATCACGATCAGTCTTGTTAACGAAAAGGTCAACTGCGCTGCGAAAGAAATTAGCATGGGAGTTGACGTACAATCCAAAAAATTCAGCAATATTCTCAAATTCGATGCTATTGCTTTTCCTTATATTATATAGATTTCTTTTCCGGGTAGGCTTTGGTCTAGTCCTCCTACCGTGTCTCTAGCTCCCTCTAAGCCTTAATAAATGGTAAGGTGTTCCCCAGCCCTTACCCCATCTTGTGATGGTTTGCCACTGGGTTAAAAAAAAAAAAAAAAAAAAAAAAAGACAAGTATTGAGCGTAACACAGGGAGTTTAGGAGCTGAGCTCAACTAAGAAATGAGATGAAGAATTTTATTCATTGGCCGATTTACATGAGATTCATTTATTTATATACAATCAGTCGTAACCAACTAAACTAACTCTGAACAAAGTTAGTTAAGCTAAAAATAGAAGGTTCCAGAATAGACTGTAACACTTGGTTTCACTTCATTTAACTTAGGGTTTCTAAAATAAAATAACTCCATCCCGCGCGGAGGAATAAACTTACCTCTGTTACAACGGTTTTAAAAAACCGACGTTGTGCGAGCAAGACATACCAGGGCAGTTTTTTACTTTAACCGCCGTCCAATAAATAAATGAATAAACATCTGACGTTAAATGTGTGACGTAATATGTCATTCTTGTAGTAGTGAATATTAATGTCTTGTGCTATTCAAATATTTTGTAATTTATGGTATTAAAAATCTGTAAGTTTTTGAAGGAATATATGGATGCCTTCAATTTGGGAATATCCGGCAATGCATGTATCCCGTCTCTAAAAAGGTTCTATAAAACATTCAAATTTCATGCCCGTTAATTAAATTGAACACGAATCCTGATGCACTGCAAAACTTAAATAAGCATGCTTCATAGATTGATAATAAGTCATAATTAGAGAGTTCATTACAACAATGTTTGTAAATCATCATTGAAAACACATCCAAGTGTTGCTTCATAGTCATGGCCTTGCTTGGGTCAATATCTTTGACCCATTTTTGCTTGTCAATTTGCTATTTAATTCAACAAACTGTCAAAAGATTAGAAATGCAGATCAACAAACTGTCAAAAGATTAGAAATGCAGACAGGGAGAAGAATTCTTATTACTAAACTCTTTCATTCCAAATAAACCAAAAAACAATAAGAGAAACCGAATCTGAACCGAAGAAATTAAAACCTAAAAGATGGAATTCCAAAGAAATCCATCCAATAAGCCCTCTTAGCATGGATCGGGAGATCACCTGGGCTGCCAAATATTTCTGTTTCCTTAACTTGGGCCGCAGCAATATAATGTGCGACCCAATTAGTCTCTCGGACCGAATGCACAAAACTCAGATGTTTCCTATTCGACATCTGCAAGGTTTCCTGAATCGGTCTTCCCCATTTCCGCGTCTCCTTACCTGCAAAGTACTCCAGAGCTAAAGAACAATCAGATTCCACAACGAAATCATCGAAGCCTTTTTCAACCATCCACCGGGTTGCCAAAATTACAGCCTGCATTTCTGCTTCGAGCGCCGATGAAGCCTGAATGGAAAATCCAATTGCTACTTCCATTGTTCCATGCTTATCCCGAAGAATCGCTCCTCCGAAGGCCATATCAGCTAAGTAACAAGCATCAACATTAAGTTTCCATTTTTTCCTGGGATTTTGCCATCTAATAACTTGAAACCTTGGACCTTTAAGCTTGAAATCTTTGGGGATAAGATGCTCTTCATATAAAATATTCCCTACAGATTTCATCTTGTCCCGGGGCAAAATCCGAACCCAATTTTGAGTGTATAGCTTGATCTGCAGAATAATATACTCAGAGTCTTTATTGAGATTTCCTGACCCCCACACTAAATTGGTATAGGTCTTCCAAATCATCCAACAAATGATCCCAAATATGTTTTGAACAAACACACCAGCCACACTTCGATTATTTGACTTCGGCCTCCAATGCTTAAAGGAGCAATAATCCTGACCAGAGGGAATAAAAATCCCAAAAATTCCCATATAATACTGCCAAACTTTCCGAACAACTGAACACTGATAGAACACATGGTTCATTTTATCTTCATTTGCCCTACAAAGAGGACAAATCGAGGGGTTTAGTACCATGTTAAACCTCAATAAATTATCTGCAGTAGGAACTATTCCTTTGACAATCTTCCATTGAAGCAATTTGATTTTCATTTCCTGATTGGTTTCCCAAATGTTTTGATATGTTACAGAATTAAATCCCAGCTCCCTAACTTCCTCAAAGGCTGATTTAAAGGTGAATTGCCCATCATGCTCCTCATTCCAGATTATACAACCATTGTCATCACAGGATACAAGAGAAGAAGCCAGATCGTTAGTATCACAGATTCTCCTCCATATAGGGGAATCAGTCACTCTAGGTACAATATTATCTCCTCTGTTATATCTTAATCGAATAAATTTTGCCCAAAGCGAGTCACCTGTCTTCCATTTCCACCATAATTTAAGTGAGAAAGCTTTTTCAATATCCGTGAGTGACCTGATCCCCAGCCCTCCTTCCATAGTAGGCAAACAAAGCCTAGCCCATCTAATCCAATGGTGTTTTCTCCTGTCATTGGAATGCCCCCAAAAGAATGAAGCCATTTTATTATTGAGAACTTTGATTACCTTTTTTGGGAGCTTATCCACTGCCAAAGTATGTAGTGGAATAGCATTAAGGACATGCTTGATTAGGATAAGCCGACCTCCTTGTGATAAATTTTTTTGCTTCCATGGAGATAATTTATTCTCAAACTGCTTTATAATATGGCCACAGTAATTGAACCTATTAATACCTTTATGTAAATTCACTCCAAGGTATTTGATAGGCAATGAGGAATTCTTCATTCCCAGAATGCTTTTAACTCTAGCAATCCTTCCTGGTGCCCCTTTACCACATAGAAAAGAACTTTTATCCAAGTTAATCTCCTGCCCTGAAATTCCTTGATACTCCAGTAGAAAGGTTTTGAAATTAGTCAAGGATCTGGCCTCTCCATTTATAAAAACTAACAAATCATCAGCAAAACCCAAGTGAGAGATTGGATAACCCTGCTTTCCCATCCAGAAGGGTTTAATCCTTCCATCAGCCATCTTCTTATTTAATCCTCTGGAAAAGGCCTCAGAGGCAATAATAAACAGGAAGGGGGACAGTGGATCCCCTTGCTTAACACCTCTTGATGGCTTGAAAAAACCATTAGGAGATCCATTAATAAGAACAGAAAGATAGGTGGCTTGAAGATTGTTCATAATAAGTTTAACAAGCAGACAAGAAAATCCAAATTTAAGCATGATATCTGAAAGAAACTTCCAAGAAACTTTGTCAAAAGCCTTAGCCATATCAAGCTTAACCACAAGATTTGAACCCCTAATCTTTTTGTCAATACAATGAATCATCTCTTGAGCAATAAGGATCTGATCTACAATGTCTCTGTTAGCCATGAATCCAGCCTGCTCTTGAGATATAATTTTAGGCAGCACCTCCTTCAATCTATTTGCCAAAACCTTTGTACATATCTTAATAGTAAAATTAGATAAGCAAATTGGCCTGAAGTCACTGAACGTAGATGGCCTGTCTGACTTAGGGATAAGTACTAGCTGAGAGCTAGAGAAAGCCTTAGGAATATGTTGACCCAAGAAAAACTCCTGAACTGCTCTTAAAACATCCATATGAATAATTGACCAACATTTTCTAAAGAACTTACCATGGTAGCCATCAGGCCCAGGGGCACTGTTCTGACTGAGATCCCAAACTGCAGTCCTCACCTCCTCCAAATCAGGGATCTGAGTCAGTATTATGTTATCTTCTTGGCTAATCAACATAGGAATACATGAAATCAACTCATCATTGCTTTCTGTTTGCTTTTCAGTGTACAGTTCAGAAAAATAGCTAACTGCAGCAGTCCCAATTTGGCCTGGATCTTCAATCACCTGTCCAGCCTGGCTTTTTATTGAGGTGATACTCTGTTTTCTCCTCCTAATCTTCACAAAAGAGTGAAAAAAATGACTGTTGCTATCTCCTTCCTTCAGCCAATGTAGATGAGCCTTTTGCTTCCAATACTTTTTCTCAAGTTTGTATTTTTGTAACAAAAGTCCTTTTTTGAAGAACCAGCTCTCTCTATTATCATCAGTGGGGCTTGCCTCATAATCTTTCTCCGCCTTAAGCACCTCTTGTTCACATTTGATAATCTCATCAAATATATTCCCAAACACAAACTTATTCCAATCCTTCAGCTCCTTTTTCAGCATCTGCATTTTATTAGCTAGGCCCCTCATACCACCTATAGTTTCAAAGGACTCCCACTTTCGTTTAATAAAGTCCATGAAAGACTTATGCTGAAACCACATATTTTGAAATCGAAAGGCTTTAGGGCCATAGCCACCAGAATTAAAACATTGGACAACAATGGGATTGTGATCAGAGCCAGTATTATTTAGGACTTTGGTATGAATTGTATCGAAAACATCCAGATAATACTTGTTAAAAAGAACTCTGTCTAATCTTCTCCAAACTCTCCCATTTGATCTGTTTCCTGTCCAGGTAAACTGGGGACCATCATAAGGAAGATCAACAAGATTGCAAGCTGAAATACAATTGGAGAAATCATTCACACCTCTGATGATGGGTAATGAGTTCCCTTTATGCTCACTGTATTTTGCAATTTCATTAAAATCCCCTCCCATGATCCAAGGCTCTTTAATAGAGACTGATAAGTTAACGAGAGCATCCCATAACTCCCTTCTGATCATATAATTATGCCTGCCATACACTCCTGTAATCCATCCTGAGTAATAAACCCCTTGAACTTTACAATGTACAAACTGATTATGCCATGTAAATTCAGATAAGGTCATTGAAGAGGAATCCCAAAAAACCCAAACTTTATTCATAGAGGAGCATACAACAGTATCATAGCCAAGCACTTTTTTGTACTTATCAACAGAAGAACAATCAACCATAGGTTCAATAACGAACAAAATATGTACCCTCCATTGCTTTACTAGGGAACTAAGCCTGGAACTGGAGGATTCCAAGCCCCTAGTATTCCAGAATAAGCAATTCATGGTGAACCAGGCTGGGCCTCCTGCCCCCTAGTCACACTCCTGGTACTCCTCTTCACATGTTTTTCTTCTACTGTCTTCTTCTTAGTTGCTCTTTTATTGCCCTTTGTCTGATTTTCCTCCTCATTTTGAGGCTGTGGATTGTTGATAATACCAGCCT